GGAACGACATCATCCCTGTGTTATCCACACTGTTTCCAGTACAAATCCAAAACAACCCCATACTGGCTACTATGGAGAAAATTAGCTCTACCCCAGCCAAAACCAGCACAAGCCCTCAACCTTTCTCCTACTCTTGCTTTTTCTTCCTCTGTAGATATCGTCTTATTATTAGCCTAATTAATGTCATCATTATATTTTTAAGTCATCAAAAAAAAAGTCTGCAGCAAGCTTAATGTAACTGACTGAATTTCATTTGATTTTACTTCTTACAGAAATGGCAAGTGCTATGTTGCCTAAGAAATAAAAGGGGCAATTTCCTTAATTTTTTCTTCTGTTTTTTTTTGGTCAGAATATGGAATTTATAACTCTGGCTAGACAATGCCCTCCTCTGGGGCAGAGACTCATTTCAGAGACAATAGATGTTGTCCTAACTCTGTCACTGTGGCCACATCAAACCCTTATTATGGCTGCAAGCCAAGAGAAAAAAAGAATCCTTTTTATTATTGCTTTTCTATGCGGTCTCTGTAACTTGGCAAGGTTCTTTCAAATGTCATTTTGCAAATCTTAAATGCAACATATTATATTGTATTATTAACCTTGTATTTCGTATCCCTTTGATATGGTTCCTTTGCAAATGCTTGAAGTCTACACAGATCTATCAGGTAGCTTTAAATGCATTCTACAAAGAAACCTTAAATAATAAAGCTACTAAGAAGGTTTTTCTTTTACCCAGAAATTCAGTCTGCTGGCATATATCATCTTGAAGGAAAATGTTTTGTTTGTGTTCCACAAGTAATGTTTTAAGTTGTTACTGATGTTTTTTCTTCTTTTATTTTTGTCATACAACTCACAAGGAAATTAATTTTTGTTTCAAATTATGTTTTGAATAAGTTATATGAATTTCTAGTAAGAGTGTAAACATTAATTGTGTATATTCCTTTTATTTAGGCACCTTTGTTACTAAAGTAACAGCTACAGATGCAGATGATCCAGTTTACGGAAATAGTGCCAAGCTGGTTTATAGCATTCTGGAAGGACAGCCTTACTTTTCTATTGAGCCACATACAGGTAGGTGACTGAGTATGCATCTGTGGGTTATATTTACACAAGCAACCATGCCTCTTACGCATTTCATATAATATACTTAAACAGGGAGTGTAAGTAGACGGCTGTCAGTATTACTGAGTTGTAACACGTGTCTCACTTGTGTTCCATCAGAGTCTGATCATGTGGAAAGACAAAAAAAAATCTGTATTAATGACAGAGTAAGTGATGGTGATGCTAATATTACAGAAACAAAACCAAAGGTAGTGGAAGTGCCGTGTGACTTGTAACTGATGAGGGACTGAGAGACTTGGCCTGAGGAATTTAATGAGCATAATGTAATTTTCAATATGAGGCTACAGTATTTACGATTAAGGAATGTACAGTTTAGCTTGGTAATTTCACTGAATATATTGTGTGTTTTCGTTAAAAGTTATTTTTCTTTTTTAATTGGATGGATTGGGGGAAAGAATGAATATGATACTGAGTGTTGGTATGAAGTTTTATTAGCATGCTTTCTGGATGACTTTATTTCTCTGTGTTTTTAAAGTCTTCAAAGTCATCTGAAAGAAGTGACAATAAGTGCTTTCCTTCTTTTCTGTACATATGTTGTACTTACAGCAAACTTACAAAGTTATGTCTGAGAAGTGTTTTTTAAAGTGATTTGATATTATTTCTTATATTCTTTCACCTGTTACTAGAAGCTGTTTTTAATCACTGTGAGTCAAGCAGCTGTGATCTCCTAAGGAGAAGAAAACTATAACTCATTTTAAAACATACAGAAAACCACCTGAATTTATATGACCGTAAAGGAGCAAAGCAGGAGTAAAAAAGTCTTGTTCTCATGCACACTAACAAATTTATGAAGTAAATGCTAGGAGAAATTATTAAAGAAGGCTTTTGATAGATCAAATGTGCTAAGTTTTCTCACCAACATTAAACAGTCTGCTCTTAGACTCTTTAAAGTCCAGAAGTTCTTTAACTCCTTCTGGTGAGATTGCATGGGAAAAGTTATTTCCCTTTCCTACAAATGCCCTGACTTGCAGGGACTTTAGGTAAATAGTATAGGTTGATAAATATTAATAGTTTAGTGGATTAATCCATTAAAATATTTTCTTCTAGTTGAAGGACAGCTGTCCTAAAACTGAAAACAATCTCTGGGATGCAATTCAGTATTTTATTTTAAGCTGCATGTAAAATAGAGTTTTACAAATAATAACTCTAGCACAGCACAATGGAAAACCAGCTTGTTTCAAACTAAGCATGTCAAGAGAGTGATCGTAGTGAAGCCCCTTAGTTCATGCTGGCTGAGTTGTCACAAGTCAAGTGGAAATATAACTCTGAACAGACCCCTGACCATTAAGTATCAAAATATATGGTTCGGTTTTCTTTAACATTACAAATTATTGCGTGCAGTAATTACTTGAGTTAGCTGTCTTAATTAGAGGGGTATTAGCTGTAGGCTCTTTCTCAGTATCTAACTAGGCAACATCAGTGCTTTAGCATGGGAACACATCAGCTTTCACAGAGGAGCTGAGAAGTGTATTCTCCACCTACACAGAAGGTTTTTCACTTCTTTCATCTAAAATAGCCTGAAAAAAATATTCCAAACGTAAAAAATTGTTTAATTTTACTCAGGTTTATTATTTGTATTGCATTAAAACCTTATGCTTAATCCAATGAATTAACTATTCATCACCTAGGAAAGTGACTTCCATTATCATGAGAGCCAGAGAAAACTCCAAAGCTTTTTGGTGAACCTGAAAATCATGATTTTTCTCCTGTTTCACTAGCTTTAAATTCCCCCTCCTACCTTCATTTCCAGTTATAAATATTCCTTTGAGTAGCAGTTCAGTTACCATGAAAATGACATGTTAGTTTCTAAAGGGAATTTAATCCTAAAGAATTCAACTGTGGCTTTGCCACAGTCCCTGAGTAAGTGGCTTCATATTATGGAACTGCTTCTGCATGAATAAGTGGTTTCAGATTCCCCATTTTTCTAGATCTATGGAGGACATCAATTATGTTCTTCTTTAGACCATTGCAACTGAATGAGTTTATGTATTGAGGCCATCCTCTGTTTCTTTGCCATCTCTGTGTAATGGCCCTCATCTGTAATGTAGTTACCATACTACTCATACAACTACCCACCAAATAGTTGTTAATCCCGGAGAGTGTGCAGTTGTTCCTGTGATCTTAGATGGACCTATCCATTGCTTGTAATGTTTTAAAATTTGCAGAATTTATTCTTGTGTTCAAGATATGTCTTTGTTTGCTTAGAGAAATTTTAGCCATACTAAATGTCTGATTGTGTAGTGTCCTCCAGCATACATTTGTTTAGAACATATAAACACTAAATATACGTAAAAGTCTAGCCAGTAAGCTAACCAGATGCAAGTAGTCACGTAGGAACTGCAGCCACATATCATACAGGGTGAAAAAGATTGCTTTAAAACCCAGCAGCCTTATAGTTGTGGTTCTTCTGAAGAGAAGTGCTGATTTCAGAAAACATAAGGATCTATACAGTAGATTTTCTTGGTAATATCACAAGTTTGGAGCAAGGGTATGATAATGTTTATTACATACCAGAGAGAGTTTTATGGATTACATGTGGTCTCAAAATGCCAATAGTATTATGCTAAGATAGCTACAATTTTGCAGTAGCTTGTGGCACTGTGTATTCCACCTTTCAGACACAGTGGTGCGCAAAACCTGCACACTAGTGTAGTAGCTGTATAACTTGGACAGTACTGCTGTTGCCATGGACAGGTAAGAGTGGAAGGTGCATTTTAACAAAAAGAAAATGTCCAAAGCAAATAGAAAGTATGTAGACATTTGATTGTTTCTTTATATTTCTTTCCAAACTTAACAATGTGAACCATCACAACTAATATTTGTTTCCTCTTAGTAACTAGGCCAGGAATACACATTTGTATGTAGTTTTGGGGAACCTCAGTGAAAGTTTTCATGTGGGAAGATGTTTGGACACTGTTGTGACAGTGTACAAATTAAAGCAGAACAGCCAGGTACAGTAGTGTTTTATCCAAAACAAATCAAACCTGAAGGTGATCCTCCAAGCGTGGTAATTATTTTAGGGTTTGGGGTTTGTTTGGGTTTGGGTGGGTTTTTTTTTTTTGCATGGGCGGGGATGGGGATGTGTGTATAGCTACATTTTCTCTGTATATAGCTGCATTTTCTCACTTTAGTGCCTATGCTAAGTTGAAAGCCTTTCTAATTCATCTGAAACAGAATTGTGTCTGAACAGAGATATTGTGTCTAGAATTGTGTCTTTCCTAAAATGGAATCACTGTTTTAAGAAATAGACTATGTTGAAGTGATCCATTTCAGAACATAAATATTTTCTGTCATTCATGGGAATGTATCAAATGTTACCAAAAGTATAGCTGCTTAGAGATGATCTACTTACAGATTTTCTATACGACTGGCCTTTCATTAGCTTTGTTTATTAGAAATTTAAGACTAGATTTAGATCTGTGCAGCTACCAGCACCAGGACAGCCATAGACAGGCAGTACTGCTTACAATTTTTTTTAATTTCCTGGCTCAGACTAAAGATTGTCTGACCTTGCTGCTTTGTTTTAGTGGTACGCTGAGAGCTGACCATCAGGAATAATCCCAATCATGCCTCCTGATTCCTCTGCCTTCTGTAGTACTCTGAACAAAAAGAAGGAGCAAAGGTGTAGGATATGGCTTCACGCCTACGGTACAAAGGGTTGCTGCATCTGAGGGTAAATCCGAGGAAAGCAGTTGCTTTCTCTTCTGCTTTTTTGTTCCTACTAACTTGACATTAACTAGGTGCAGTCCTTGTTTGAATCACACTCTTGGTTGAAATTCTGACAGTACTCTCAACCTTCTTGCTGAAACAATTCTATAATGCTGGGTGCACAGAAATAAGTACTAGTAAGTGACCTATAAAACAATAATTTTCCATTACCTGAGATGAAAAATGCATATACTTCTGCAGCTCTAGTTTGCAAATTCTTCTGTATGAGTTATAGATACATGAAAGAAGGTAATTCAGAAGTTATTTTTCATTCAGTGCTCTGAATATGGCTTAGGGTAAATGCTTTTTTGATGGCTTATTCTGAATAATTTTCATTTTTCATAGGTGAATTTTAATATGGCCACTGGTTTATTGGCTAGAGAGTAAACATAAATAATACATTACAAAGATACAGACTCGGGTTTTCTACAAGAGGCTAAACCAACAATATGATGGCATCAGATTAGTAATGAAACTCACGGTGGACTAAAATATATTCCATAAATCATTATTGTTACATCTGACTAAGTGATGTCAGGTTTCCTGACTAGTGTGTATTATTTATAAAGGTACATAAGTTGTATATATTCTCTCATAATCCAAATAATGGCAATCAAAATGCTGGGGAAGAAGTTTCCTCAAGACTGCTAAAAGTAGCTAAAGTACACTACTTACTTTTAAGCTTTTTCAAGGATATTAAATCGTGACTGTCAGCTTTAAAATAAGATTATCATAATGGAACATAATATGAAGTGACGCTGTGTTCTACAATATAGGAATGGCAGAGAAAATACATTTTCAGCTGTGTCTGACTTATTTACATTTCACATGAACTTAAATAATGTCACTCCTACACATACCTGAAATATAGTTATATGAACAAGGCAAACTGCGCCAAATGCTCTACTGCACTGGAAAACACATTGTGTTATTCAAGCATAAACCCTTACTGTATATGGAAAAGAATAGATTTTAAACACTGCCGTCTTGGATATGGTCATTTGGTACAAAGCCAAAGTTCAAGTTAGTAAAACTGAGATGAATAAAAGAGTCAGGAGACCTAGAACACTAAAGACTGTCCTAATAGCATGTGGATATTTCTTTGGAGAGCAAATAATTGGGTTTTTTCTATACCTAGCTTTAACTTACAGGTGAAAGTGCACGTGCTTTAATCAACAGAGCTTTTAATGATTTAGTATGTGGCCCTCTCTGGACCACAGTGTTGAACCCTGTGGTTCTGA